CAACAACCCAGTATTAATTTAAGAAAGAGGTAGGTGCACATCCTTATAGTGGTTAGTTTCTGTTTACATATCTAGTCTTTTTCTGTATAGATTTATTCATGAGCTTGTACCGGGCTTTGTTGAAGCATAACGCATTTACAGTAAGCTCAAAAAAGTTAAAAAAGATGGTAATAAAAATAAAAGGAGTCAAGATGGCTATCAAGCATATAAAAAAGATAGCAACGAACAATTGTTTTTGATTTTTCACTGTGGTCAGTTTAGTTCTTGCTATGTAATTTTAAGAACTAAAGATCATTGCCTCCATATGGAGTCCCAACTTGGAATAGACTAGAGTGAGAATAAAGAGGATACAAAGGATATATCTCATGTAGGCCTTTTTCTATGCTCTCTACCTCTTTCCTATCCCTTTTATCATTCATTCTATTATTTCCTTTCTCTGTTTTGACAGAAGGCTCTCTGCCTTTGACATACTAAGGGCACCATTTGGTGAATTCCCTGACTTTGCCAGCTTTATTTCTCTGTTTTCTTCTTGTCCTTAGTTGCCATTTCCTTTTTCTAGTTCTAAACTTTTTGAGGTACTGTTTTCTCTCACTTTTGTGTCCTTCAGAGTTCAGACCAAAGACGGATACATTAGATGATGTGGTGATTGGTGACTTTTGAGGTGGATACCCTAAATTGGTGGCTGGCTAGTTGTGAGTCAGTGTATGATTGACATGGGATGCGAAAGTGAAAGTGTCCTGTTGAGGAGAAGAGGTGGCTGTTGTGCTTAGCAAGTGCGGGCTGCACAATGCAGGGTCGTGGTAGTGGAAACTATGGTAGAGCCAAACAAAACCCACTAAAGCTCTTGAGAGCTTTTATATGTTTACCCCTTTGTTAGTAACCATAACCCTGTATGCTAACATCTCAGTATTTGAGTTGGGCAGCAACTGATTGGTTAGAGGCCTCCATGTTTATTATCAGGGTGGTCTTTCACCATGGGCAGCAATTTACTTGGTAATAACATAATTTAACAGTTGGTGAGTTGATCAATTTATCAGAATGGACTATGTACAATAATCCTTGGTCGAACTACACAGATTATGCCTTGAGCATTGGGCAATTACTTAGCTTAAACCTCCTGAATCATGTTGACACTGGAAACTTTTGAGTTGACTGGGCGAGTTTGTGGATCATGATGAGTAGGCCATGAATAGGTTGCATGTAACTGCTGGTATGAGAAACACAATATGTTTCAAATTACTTGCTTTGCAAGTTCAGGACTATTCTCTTCATTCCTTTCTGCTCTTGAGAAACAAAAGATGTTGTACTTGGGTCGTTTAGGGCTTGAGATATTTTTCCCTGATATGTAGATGGAACGACAAACTTTGCTCATGGTTACCCAAGCTTTGCTGTATCAGTGGGAGTACTGTTCCGTGGAAAGCCAGCTGCTGCATCTGTGGTATTGGATCTTTTTCACTTGCATTCACTTGCACTGAATTATCTTTGATTAAGCTTGTAATAGGTTTTCCCTTTTTTTTTACAATGTGTGATTGGAAGAAGATAAAAAATGGAAATTGTACTTTGCTAAGTAACTTTGATACTACAAATGACCTTATGCCATGTTTTTAGTCAGCATGATGTTCTTACAATTGTTGTATTACACATTTTGAATGATTATTTTGGGGAGTTCCTGTACAGTGAGGTTATTGGGTCATAAAATCTTGTAATAGTCCTAGCAGTAGCTCCTCGACGAGTATTATAAAAGACAGCCCAACATGCAGGCTAAATGTCAATAATTATGATTGTAAAATTTGTCTGTCGATAGTATTTTGTACCAAGATTTATGTTTGATTGTCATATTTTCTGACATTTTAATGTGATGGTATTGTGCAATTTCTTGTTTTTCTTCTACCATAACAAAGCATCCTCTTTTTCCAAGGTTGAGTTTGTTGGTGGGCCTATGTGTTGGAATACTCGCACATTTTGTGCATCTTCTGGTAAAAGTTGAGGAATGACAACCACAGATAAGTTCATTTAAAAGGTAAACCTTACGGTTGAAAATAGATGTGTATTTGTGCTTTAACAGGTGGTGGAGCCTTTTGCAATGGACAAAAGATTCATGTTAGTCAGACTGATCAGGTAAATGATTCTCTTTATGATCCACATAGATATATGTTGTTTTCGGTTATCTACAACAAGAGCTTTCGATAGTCCATGAAACTTGAAAAATCCAGAATACAGACTACAAAATGCAAAATTATCACCTCTAAACTTATTTTCCATTTGTGGCATGTTTACCACTATATGGGGCTGGCAATGGTACTTACTTTTATCATTCAAAAATTTAAGTGCAACCATTAATGAAAATGGTCCTACCTACCCAGGATATATGTGCTAGCTGTTAGCTATCTGGCATGGTAAACCAACAGACCAATGCGGTGTTAGCAAAAAAGGAAAAAACAAAGTAGTGAAAGAGAAAAAAAAAAGGGAGAATAGGGAAGGGGAGAGGCTTACATTTTCTGTGGAGCAGGACCCTGCTCCTGCATTGTTGTTGTTTCTGATGTTCTGCGACCCTCCGTTCCCTCACCATTGAGAGAATCAAGTGTTGCTGACTTCATGACTGAATATATCACAATGCAAAACTGGTCATGTTTTTGGATGCCATGTCATGAACAAATCTCTGCTCATTAGAAAAGGTTTAGTGTCCCTCTTAAATATATGAAATCAAAACTGGTCATGTTTTTGGATGCCATGTCATGAACAAATCTCTGCTCATTATAAAAGGTTTAGTGTCCCTCTTAAGTATATGAAATCATTATGATTAACTTCTCATGTGAAGCTCTAAGGAAAAGAATTTAAAAGGTTATGCAGATTGCAGGTATTCTCCATTTCTGGAGTGATGGAGAAAAAAGAAAGGAATTGCAACCATTACAAAAGAAAGGAGTCCTTTTATTTTTTAAAAAGTCTTATTTTGAAGTAGATCATGTTGTTTATTTAAATACTTGTTGAGGAGTTCCAAAAAAAATTATTTACATGTCATCCTTCTCTTCAGATGATATGGGTTAGTTTTTCATTGGCTAGGTGGAACGCTCTCTTCTGGTAACAGGGTTTGGATATGAACATGATGATGCCTGGGCAACCAACATTAACCTGTTCAAAGAATTTACTGACATTAGCAGGGTGCGTGCTCACGTAATAATGTTCTCTAAGTCGTACTCTATTTGGATTCACTTATAGTTGGTCTGTGCAGGGTGTAAGAAGACTTGGTGCCGCTGCTGTTGACATGTCTCATGTTGCTCTTGGAATCGTCGAAGCCTACTGGGAATATCGTCTCAAGCCATGGGACATGGCTGCTGGTGTCCTGGTAATCTTGTCCCTCAAAGATTCATGCAATATGCTTTTTTTGAGCACTGCATATAACTCAATATCCTACATTTTTTTTTTTTGGATCATAAATTTTTATCTTGAGCTAGTTCTTTTTTACTAAGAAAGGAAACCCATGACATATGTTTTGTGCGTTGTAAGCAATGGTGAGATGACTAAGTTTATGTTATCTGTTGCTAGCGTCACATTTACCTACCTAATTTAGGCTAATGATGCAAACTTACTCTGCTTTGCACTTGCATCTTCTGTCTTTATCACAAATGTCTCCTTCTGAACAGATGGTTGAAGAAGCGGGTGGAGTTGTGACGCGAATGGATGGTGGAAAGTTCACAGTCTTTGATCGTTCTGTTCTAGTATCCAATGGTATTGTTCATGAAAAGGTGGTTCTTCTTCAAGCCTCTCACGTTAATGCATGGTTATATGAGATTCCACGAAAATCTTCTATCAATCACCTTGTGTTTAGTGAATATGTGATGGATAGAACATAATAAGCTTGAACATATCATACATAGCAAGTAGTAGTAACAAGCAAAACAACATTACCAACCAAACACAAAGTTCATGAAGCGATTGCTATAGTTTTTTCAGCATGCCTACATCTGACATGCATCTGCTTGCTATATTCTTTTCCTAAAGCATGTAATTTTTCACAACTAGCAGTCGATGATGTTTCCGACTTCTGTTTGCTTCCTGAAAGACTCATTGCTTACTGGTGCCTGCATGCTTTAACTGCAGCTGCTGGAGCGGATTGGCCCTGCAACTGAAGAGCTAAAGAAGAAAGGGATCGACTTTTCGTTATGGTTTAAGCCAGAAAACTACAGTACTGATTCTTAAGTGGGCTTTGATCGAGGTTTATCGTCTGCCACAGATTTTGAGTCGATCCGTAGCAGAAGTCAATGTTTTCCTCTTTCTTATACTTAATTCAGCTCTGATTCGTTTTTAAGGTGATATACCCCTGTAAAATTTGGGAATAATTCTTTTGATATTTTCAGCTTCAGCATTGGGGAATAAGCTTCGTTTGACTTGTTCTCACTCATCGAGGACGACGAAAAGATCCGTACTAGTCACTGCAGTAAGCACTTTTAAATGCTAGTTATGGATGGAACTCATTCATGGTATGTGTATCATTTGGGAATACTCTTTTTTGTTTTTGTTCTTTGGGTTGAAGGTGCATGTCGATCAAAACGTGATATTACAAAAGTCGAGTTTAGGAAAAGAGTATTGGGATTACAAAATTTGATTTTATGTAAAATTAATTATTCTCCAGCTTTTTCTTCTCCTTATTGTGTTGTTTTAGGGAGTAGAAAATTCTCAAAATATCTATTTTCTAAAAAAATATTGAACAAAATTAATAAAATTTTGAACATCGATGTTTATTGGCCTTTTGTCAAAAAAGAAAATTTAATTTGTATAATTCAATTCGAGAAAACTAATCATCAAATTATTTCGTTTTTCTTGGTAATATAATAATCATGATCCTGCTAAATAAAATAGTCATAAACATAGTTTTCAATGTTTCTCGAATTACTGAACCTAAATTACCAACAATGTTGAATATGAATAAAAATCTATATAATATATTAAACTTATTATTATTCCTATTGTCTATGGGAATGCGCGGGAACTTTGGTCATCAACAGCCGCGCCAAACGTTTGACGCAGGACCGCGAAAAAAGGGTCTCTAGGGTTCGTCCCCAGCCACAATCGATGGAGGAAGGCAGCAGCCTCGCGGCTTCTTGTCCGGGTAGGAGCAACGGCGGCGGCGAGGGAAGCACCGGGATCATCGATCTCCGCCCTCCTGGTTCATCCCCGGCCGTTGATCTCACCGATCGAGTCCACCTCCTCCCCTGTTCCGTCAAGCACGATGGCCCCTGCCCCGTCTCCCACTACTTCAAGCCCAAGCAGACAGGTTCTTTACGATTCTCTCCTCCTCCTCGTCTCATGCTCATGTTTGGATGCCGTTCCTCTTCTGATCCTTCTCCGTGATATAGATGTGGTAGTGGATGATCTGTGCTTGAAAGAAGCCTTCTTTAGAGGGAGGAAGTTGCAGGGCGTCACCGTTCCCCTACCCCCAGGATATCGAGGTTGCATTTGTGATTGGCTTTGAAGAGTTCTCGTACTCTTTATGCGTCAAAATTGATTTTTTTTTAGGGGGAAAAAAATGAAAGAATGAGTTGAGATCGTGAGATGACGTTGATTGCTTTTATGTAGGTTACGTTTTGGACAAGAGTTCGGAGAGTGGCAAGAGATCGGAAACTTCGGAAGGGGGATTCGACCGGTGGTTGTCCCGTGCTGAGTTTGGGAACTTAACCTATTGGAATCATGACAGCCTGCCTTCACCAGACGATCCGCTCATACGGTGCTTCCATTGGTTTTCTGTTTCTAATGCCGTAAGTGCTTCGGTTAAGATTATTTCCTTATTTATATTTGTTTTAATTTAGGCTATTATTTCGTTGTGTGCTGCAAGTTATTCCTGCAGCATAGATTCCACTGCTTCTGCTTATGGTTTGTTCCTTTTTATTCCACTTAGTTCTTTGTTTGTCTTTTCTTCTACTGAATGGCGACTAAGTAGAATGCATTGACCTTTTTTTTTTTGGTGAGATTTCGTGGTAGTTGAATTCTTGTTCTTGATTGATCGGTTATCTATGAAACCCTTGTTATGTGACTGACTGTATATGTTGTTTAGAGTCTTCTATTTCTGAGTTATTTTTTCTTTTATTATGTTCAAGTTGTAGTTGAATGAAACAAGATTTTTGTTAGACAGTGCTCATAATATCCAACAGGGAAACGATATTCGAAGTGAGCTGCATGGTCAGGATCAGATAGGAAGTTCTAATGGGTCTATCATCCAAGTTGTATCGGTTGTCTCCAAGGAGGCTAAGTAGCAAAATTGGTTCTAATAGTTGATTGATAACAAATTTATCAGGAAACTAATGGGTGTATTCAAACACCATATTACGATTGATCCATATATCTATTCAAGTGTATTTCTTCTCATATACTTTAGACATACTTAGGGTGACACTATGTCTAGTTTTTGGTGACCATAAGAGACATTTGAATTTTCATATAATTTTCAAAGACTTGCTCGATAAGTGAAGATAACTATCTCACTTCCGTTACTGGATAACCCTATACATTTTAAACCCAAACCAGTATCAAACCCTCTTTATTTTCATTATGCTCCTTCACTTTCTTGTTTCCACTATCTTTTATAATCTTCACTAATTAACCACATCCGGTTGAGGCCAGGTTGGTGGGGAAAATTACAGTTTTAAGGCACAATTGATCGACCTTATAGGTTACTGTCTCGTTTTAGTTTTTGTCATGTGAGGTAGGCTTTCCCATATGACGTTATTTCAGCCAACCCATGAGCAATGTCCTCACAAAGAATGGGTCAAGTACGGTGGGATATCCTTTGCAAATTCTACTCCAGTCTTAGGCATTATTTGGATATTAGTGTGACTTGGAAATAGATTCAACTCCATGTATAACTTTTTAACAGGGATTCTTGGTCCCCTTTGTTAGTATTATTTTAGAATTACAATTTTTAGATAGCATTGTGAACGGATTCCTTTTTTTGTCTCCTGTAGTGGGAAATTACTTGCAAGCACATTTACTTATGAGATACATAAGGTTATTAATGCATGGATCACAGTTCAGTCTTTTTCCTTCTATTCTCAATCAACATCTTATTTTATTTTGGTTATATGCCGTTGTAGGTGGTGTAGGTTTAGCATTTGAATAGGGTGTCTGATATCAGAACATAAATCATATTTTGCATATTTACTAAATATGTTAGATGCCATTATAATCATAAATTTATGGTAATGCAGTTGCACAAGCCAGTCACCCAAGCAGAGTTGGATTCGGCAATGTCTGTTCAAGGAAGAAATGATTGAACTTACCTGCTCACTAAAACCTCGATGGAAGAAACACTTGGCTTTTATTCCAGGCGAGGCTACTTTCTGAATCCTAGTTTCACTCCAAATTGGTACTTCCATCTTTCAGTCCCTCTCTTCCTTATGTAGTTGTTGTCTCAAGGCATTGATGGCATGTTAGGCTTTCATCAAGAAGGTTTGATAAATTAGAATTCAGATACACAGACAAACTTTTTCCTCTGGCATTTTCACATCAAAAGCTTGCATTTCCTATGGCTGTAGCATGAAACACTAGTAGTTCCATAGCTTTTGCCCACAAGGCTTGAGGCAGGCATGTCTGACATCCATCTCTTTGCTGCTCCACACTTTCCTAACATGATCTTGTGATATCCCCATTCTGATCAACTTCTCTGTCCTAGACAACACTACAGCCTCATTGTCAATTGCAGACTGCACAAGGTAAGGATACACTTCTTGTAGATACCATAAATTCCAATCTCTCTTTCTGCACAGGAATTAGCCCATCTTCCTAACCACTTAATATTTATCCTGTTAAAGAGTCTTGTTTCTAGCTTTTCTACCTGCCTCTCTAAATCAACACTCAGGTCAAAATCCTCTAATTATCTCTTAATATTTATCCTCTTACATCAAACATGCCCTTCAATCCCCCAAACAGTAGACTGCAAGTCAGAAGATGTAGAAGCCATGGCCACCTAATTAGAAGAAGTCCTCCATGGTAGCCAACTTGATCGAGGGAAAGAACAGATAAACAGTCCTGAACACGAGCAGATTCTACCAAAATGAAGCTTCTTAAAACTATTGGCTTCACATGTCGGCTGCTTAGCTTAATTATCACCTATGTTGACTCCTTTCACTTCTCTATGTTCATCTGTTGCACCATCTTGGTAAACTTCATGAACACACCATTGTTTCATCCCAGAAGCCATACACTCTACTGGATCAAACGACTAATCTTATATGGATATTATTATTTGGTAATCATTAAAAGCTGATTGTAATAAGAAGATGAATTCTATCCTACATATGGTGTGCATATGAGAAGCAATATCGGACACTCCTGCCGCCATTTCACATAATCAATACATGTACAAGCAGACAATCACATCAATCATTTGCATGCTGTTATGGTTGTAATAAAGACATTCATATGGCATACATCAATCTTATGCTGCCATTCTGTTATCCTTTAGCTAAATTGTGGTACGATGCACGACGCACGTGACCTGCAAAGGCGGTCGATTTATGAACGCCAGCCGAGCAACCAATTATTGTGCGTGCATACGTACGTGCGTGCGAGCGTCCTCGCACAAGATTTGTACGCGATCATCGCATCCGCCGTACGTTTTTCTCCTGGTTGCATTGCCACCGTCCGATGAGCGTCCATGGAGCGACCGTTCCCTCCGTCGCGAGCATCTTTTCTTGGACTGGTCTCGTCCCTAATTTAAGTCTCTGCGGTGTCATGATCCCGATTCTGGTCACCGCCTCCGCCATCGAAGCGTCGAATCGACGGCGGAGGAGGAGGATGATCGCCATCATCGTTTGATCGCTTCACTTGCAGTAGGCGGGTATGCTGCATTCGGTGAGAAGACCGAAACGATTCCAGTATAAAAGGCTCCCTCAGATCTGAAATCTAGATCTGCCGCTCTCTTCGCCTCTGCTTGCTCCTCTCCTCCCGTTCTGCTCTCTCGTCGTCTCTTGGTTGAGCTCCGGCGAGAGGCGGCGAAGATGAGGGAGATCCTCCACATCCAGGGCGGGCAGTGCGGGAACCAGATCGGGGCCAAGTTCTGGGAGGTCATCTGCGACGAGCATGGAATTGATGGCACCGGGAAGTACAACGGCGACTCCGACCTCCAGCTCGAGAGGATCAATGTCTACTACAACGAGGCCAGCGGAGGGCGCTACGTTCCCCGCGCCGTGCTCATGGATCTGGAGCCCGGGACCATGGACTCCGTCAGATCCGGCCCCATCGGCCAGATCTTCAGGCCGGACAACTTCGTCTTCGGCCAGTCCGGTGCCGGGAACAACTGGGCCAAGGGGCATTACACCGAGGGCGCCGAGCTCATCGACTCGGTCCTCGACGTGGTCAGAAAGGAAGCTGAGAACTGCGACTGCTTGCAGGGTATATTCCTTTTTCTTCTTCTTTTCTTTTCAAATCGGAGTGGTTCTTAGTAGATCTTGCTTTACTTTGGTATAATCTTCTGGTTTCTCAAAAATGTTGTCCATTGACTCCATTCTCTTATATCTTTTGTGAGCATGGACAATGTTTACTCCTCTCCAGGTTTTTTTATGGGCTTACAAACATGTTGCACTGAGACCATGGTAAATTATGAGTTCTTTAATGAAGTAATTTAGGGATATTATTTCCTTCTTTTATAGGCTTAATGAATTAATGACGTGCTTTTGACAGTTTCTATTGATGAACAGAATGTTTTATCGAGTTATTTGTTATCGAAATAGGCTACAACTTATCTTGATTGATTATGATTGGAGTTCTCAAGGGATTTTGTTCATTTAGGTTGACAGACATTGGAATTTGATGTATGATAAGTTTGTGCATATAGTATGTGAAGCTACTGTAATAGGGTGTGTTTACGTACGCTACCTGTTATTATGTCAAGTGTGTTCACGTTGATTTTCATTCTATTTCTGTTAGCATGAACTAGAGTTACCTGATCTTGGCCGATTCAAGTTAATGATCCTCAACTTAATTTCCTCATTTATTGGTTGAGTCCACTGGGTTCTCTAGGTCTTCTCACTTAGTGAAAACTGAATTTTCATCAAAAAATGCTTGGTCGGACTGAAATTTCATGTATACAAGTGGAGTTACTATTTATCTGTTCCATATGTGAAACAATATTATTACTGACACCTGGTAATTTGCTTCTAAATTTGTTCAATTTCAGATCCATTAAAGATAAATTAAAATTTCATTCTGTCATATTTGTGATTGGCAAACTTGCACCTTTCAGTCGAAATGTACATAATGGACAATTTCTCCTGGATGCTTGCTGGTAAATTTTGACTTTTAGTCTCCTTAGCAATAGTAGAAAGATGACAAAGGGTTTCCAGATTTTGCTGATCATGATGGTGAGAACATGATCTCCCCTTATTGAGAGTTAGTTGATACCAGCTTAAGAAAAATTATCACCTTGGTCTCTCTATCTGACAAGGTCTGACATTTGTTTACATGCATATGTCAAATCTTCTACGGCTTTGCCCTTTCTCTTTTATGTGGCATTTTATGTCCTTGATGCTGTAAGCAAATTTGCAAGTTCGTCATTAGAATTTTTAACTGTTTTGATGTTCTGCAGGCTTCCAGGTTTGCCATTCTTTGGGGGGAGGAACTGGATCTGGCATGGGCACCCTTCTTATCTCTAAGATCAGGGAGGAGTACCCGGATAGAATGATGCTTACCTTCTCTGTTTTCCCATCACCAAAGGTGTCTGATACAGTTGTGGAGCCATACAATGCTACCCTCTCTGTTCATCAACTCGTTGAGAATGCTGATGAGTGTATGGTCCTTGACAATGAAGCGCTGTATGATATCTGCTTCCGCACTCTGAAGCTTGCAAATCCCACTTGTGAGTACTGCTTGTGTTTTCATGAATTCTTTTCGATGCTACTTGAAATTGTGATCTTTTGTTTACTAATTCTCTAAATGTAGAAGATGCTGACACTCTGATCTTCTTCTTTTCTTCATACTAATATCAAGCATGTAAGGTCTTGCTTTAAACCATGGTGGTTATAAAAGCTAGTACCATAGAGTCGCCATATCCTTTCTGGTCGATACATTTTTTTTCCTCCTTTTTCTGCGCCTTTCCATGATCGATCAATCAATTTGTGCTTCGATATGTCTTTTTATTTTGTTCATTTAAAAGTTCAGAATCCGTATGTAAAGGGCAGTTAAACTTTTCAGTTAATCTTGACCTCTTAAAGTTTAAGGTCTTGTTCCAAATTGCACTGTTGCTAAAAGTTTTTTCTTTGATGTTGCAGTTGGCGATCTTAATCACCTGATCTCTGCCACAATGAGTGGTGTCACATGCTGCCTTCGGTTTCCTGGACAGCTTAATTCCGACCTCCGGAAGCTTGCCGTGAACCTCATCCCTTTCCCCCGCCTCCACTTCTTTATGGTGGGGTTTGCACCCTTGACCTCGAGGGGCTCGCAGCAATATAGGGCCCTCACAGTTCCTGAATTGACCCAACAAATGTGGGATGCCAAGAACATGATGTGCGCTGCTGACCCTCGTCATGGCCGGTACCTGACAGCCTCAGCCATGTTCCGTGGGAAGATGAGCACAAAGGAAGTGGATGAGCAGATGCTGAATGTTCAGAACAAGAACTCTTCCTACTTCGTGGAGTGGATACCAAACAACGTCAAGTCTAGCGTGTGTGACATTCCGCCCAAGGGGCTAAAGATGGCTTCCACATTCATCGGGAACTCAACTTCCATTCAAGAGATGTTCAGGAGGGTGAGCGAGCAGTTCACAGCCATGTTCAGGAGGAAGGCTTTCTTACACTGGTACACCGGAGAGGGCATGGACGAGATGGAATTTACCGAGGCTGAGAGCAACATGAACGATCTGGTGGCCGAGTACCAGCAGTACCAAGATGCAACGGCAGATGAGGAAGAATACGAGGAAGAAGACGAAGAGGCAGAGTGATTCATTTCTCTTATCTCAAGAAATGTCCTGTCCTGCCATTATAATTTCCGCTGCGAGTGAGAGGGATTTGGTGTCTTATCAGAAGACAGTTTTATGTTGGTATGGCTGTACTTTTTCTGTTGATGTGATTGATATGTTGTAACATTCGGAGCCCTGACTTCTTACTCTTATCCGGTTTCTTTTGATATGTCTGTCTGCATATTAACTAGTTGTTGTCGTTGCACTACTTGTTGTTGTCCGGGCTTAGTTTAACGTGATCAAACAAAGGGTCCTCCTTTGCATGTTTATTGGATCGACGCATCATCGTCTGGAAGTAAACAAGCTGGCTTAGTTTCTCTGTGGAGTTTCTGAAGTTGGTTATTGTGATTATGTTATTTGTGAAAAGGTTTGTGAATCGTCATATCTGTTATGCATGCATAGTTTCTGTGTGGAGTTTCTGAAGTTGGTGGGTGGATGAAAGCTGTTGTTCTCTTTTAACTTGGTTAATATGTGAAATCATATTATTGTGAAAAGGTTTGTGAATTGTCATATCTGTTAAGCATTGAGAGGTTGTACTTTTGATGTGGTAATTATATCTGAGGCAGTTTCATGTGAGGTTGTGGTAAGCTGCTGGTCCCTCGTATGGTTCAAATCTTGTTTGGCCTCCTCCTTCATTAGCCTTTTCGGTTTTTAGTAGAATCAGAGAATTTGGACAGTTTATTTCTTTGTCATCATAATCGGAGATGCTGTAAGTGATAAAGCTATGTATTGATATGAACATTTAGTCCTTGATCATTTACTCTAAGTGCATGAATCAATCGGAAAGATTTTGAAAGAAATAGTGGAGTCTTTTATTAGTGCATTAAAGATGTAAGTAATCATTATTAATCATGAGCAAATATATTAATGATGAGAAATGTATCCCCTACCCGATGTTGATAGTCATATTATTAGTGATTTGATGGAGAATAAATCTGACACAAAACTCTATAAGCTGCAAAAGAAATAGTAAGAGATGGGAATCTGTTGTTACTGATAAGGATAATAACGGCGACATGACGTGCCACGATGTCAGCCACGCCTAGATGACGCTCTGCCCCAAAAGAGGGCAATAATGCTGACGCGATGTGCGCTGACATCACCCACTCTCAGACAACGATCCCATCGTCGTCTGACCCGGCATGCTTAGCCAAGGCGGAGGAACACGACGACCGAGGTTCGCCCATACCCTGCGGCAGTTCGGTTCTCCACGCAATGCCAACGGCCATGTCAGACGCCATCAGAGGTACGATCCTGCCCCTGTCGGCAGACCCGTCAGGTAACCTTAAACTTACTTATAAATACCCCCGAGTCCCAAAGGGAAGGGGGGGGGGAACCGACACAAAAACCTTTCTTCATCTGAAATCCTCTCCACATCCTCTAACTTGATCATCGGAGGAGTCGGGCCGAGCCATTGACCCGACCTGTGTGCAGGTATATGGACGGGATCGCCTCTTCCTGGCGGCGGCAAAGCTGCCTCCCGACGAGACGTCCCGGACCACCGTAATAGATCGCCAGGGCAATCTCGAAGAATGCCGGCATAAAGTTGTTTACAATGAAGAACCAAGAAGTTTGATGAAAAACGAACTTACAACATAAACAACAAAATAAAACTGTGACCGTTATAAATCGATCGCGGTGGGACTCGAACCCACAATCTCCCGCTCCGGAGGCGAGCGCCTTATCCATTAGGCCACGCGACCATTGACGTTTGATTCTCGTTATATATTTATTTAAATGATGCACTACAACCGCCCTACTGACAACGTGGCGGATGAGTTGGTGCCACAACAGCTAGTAGTACCCTAAGAAAACTCTTCTCTTTTCCAATTTAATCTTTAAATTGGAGATGTCTAATTGGATAATCTGAATCAACTATTACTTATTTTAATCACATATAATCTTCTCTTCCCTCGTTGTTGTATAAATCAAAAGATTACTAAGAAGAAAATAGAGAAAAACAAATACAAACAATGATGATGATTATTGGATTCTAATTAAAGTTTTACGATAACAATTCTTGAGTGTTAATACATGGCATATTAATTATAATCAATTGACTCCACTGTTGTATCTCCTATCAATGGCATTAGTTGCTAAGCGTGTGTACTTATTCTTCTTCTTCTACTGCTTTCTAAAACTACTGGAGCTTTCTTAAGGTTTGACATTGGGATAAAAGAACATCATTGAGGAGTCATCGCAAAGTGAAAGCATGCAAGAGAGTTCAATTCTTTTAGACATGATGATCGTAATGAGCGAAAAGATTCATGCTAATAATAAGCTACCAATATTAGTCTTGTTGAGAACATCCTTTTTTTTTTTTTCTCTTTTAGAAGGTACATTGTCACATTTCATCGTGAGGAAATAGAAAATGATAGAAGATGAAAGAATAACGAACACATAAGCCATCATGATGAAGATTCAAACATGAAGAATTCACCCGATAAAAAACAATAGCAAAATTGATGATTGTGATTAAAAGAAATTACTTGATGTAATCCATATATTAATAAAATCAAATGTGTTTTTAATCAATGTGAGACTAATCAAATCGAAAATATTATACAATAATCATGCACATGCAAGTCAATAAAAATATATTTTTAATCATTTTTTTGAAGGACCATACTAATAATAATGATAATAATATATAAAACAAAACTTACCTAATCTTATAATGATTGGAAAGAATAGCATGCACATTTCCACCATGCCTTGGATAGTGAATGGAAGGTGAGAGGTCAAACATCGTCCCACCCCAAGTCAAAAGAGCGACTATTCTACATCCTCACCAAACCCAATCAAACCTAACTTTTAGTATGTCATTTTGGACACTTGTAACATTACGTAACAATTAGAAGAAAAAAAATTATAATACTAGTATATATATTTTTTATAAATAATACATGATGAAAATAAATTTTGATCATATGATAATATTCTCGAACTAATAGCTTAGGAGTAAAAATCTATAAAATAGAGTTCTACGCCCTTAATCGGAGGGATAAGCAAGTCAAGTATATTATCATTAGAGAAATATTTTAGATACATGATATGATAGAATCATTATAATTTGCTATAAATTAATGGAGAAAGTCCTATTAGCCTCTTAAAAATTGAGTGCATATACATTTGTAAGATATTCTACTCCATTAATCTGAAAAAAAAGAGAAACTGCTGAAGTAGTTGTTGCATTATTTTCACATCATTGTCATGTGATGATGATGATATGTAACAATGGTTTCCATTTTGATTGGCTACAGAGGTTGTACAGCTAAATCCCTGCAACCAAAAGTTGTCTTCTTCTTGTTATAATTACCTAATGATGAGTAGTCAGAGAGAGAGAGAGAGAGAGAGAGAGAGAGA